CACCTCCTCCTCCCATGGTGGCAGAGTCGCCTGCGGTGTGACCTCACTTAATTGCTGGCTCGCTGCCTTCTGACCTCTCATCGATTACGCTGTTCACTCAATTATAATAACATGTTCCTGTATATGTATATGTATCCTGTTTCCTGTAAGCAGAAACGAAAAATTCTGTCTGAGCATCTCACATGTAAGTAAACAAAGAAAGGCAAGTGTGTTCCATACTTTCTCATTTCCTCTGCTATAACTGCCCTTCTGTTTTCATCTCGTTTTAGCAACTTTCTGGCGTCTTCTGGATCCTGTGAATAGAAAGATCACTGAAAAGAGTCAGTGCAATAGTGGTCAAGATCTCAACTTCCTGGAGGCGTCTTAAGGCTGCTCCTGCTTCATAGTTCAGCTTACGGAGAGCTTCAATGAGGGCATTCAGTGGTGGATGGTCCCCGTTGATAAGCAGTCCTAGTCTCCTGGAAAAATCCTCCCAAATGGTTGCAGTACTCTTCATGTACCATAGATAATACCTGTGAAACGCCTCAGCCAAGTTCGTTGTCCGCAACTCCGTGAGCTTCCATTTGCACCATAACCCCTTAAACGGCCCATCCATCCAGGTTGTACGTAAATAGGAGATGAAATCTCCACATCTTTTGTAGGCGATGTGATCGTTTGGAACGGGAGGGCCCCTCAGGGTCGGACTTGCGGCAGTAGAGGATCCGGAAGGAAGACCATGCCTGAAATAGTGAAGTTGCATTCCAATTCATTCGACAAAAATCCAAAATACCTTTTAGTGTAGCCCACCACTGAACGATTCGCTCGTCTCTCTCCCCTCCCTGAATGTATTGCTTTAGTTCAAGCTCGTTTCTTTTACGGTTCCATGCTTGTGCAAGATGGAAGGCACAGCCTTCCACTCTTGCCCTTGGGAAGGTTTTTCGGGCGGCGCTTATAGCGGCCTTTTCGAAATCTAAGACGACTCTTCTCGGGGCATCACCAACAATATGCGTTCTCAGTTCCTCGAAGATCTTCAAGTACACCCTCTCCGTCTTCTTGGCTGTAATGCAGTACAGCAACGGAATTTCCACGCCTCGGTCGCACACGCCATGCACACAGTAAAGCTGTGCTTGGTAACCGAGCGATTTTGGATGCAGCGAGTGCATCCCATCAGCGACGATGCTATGGAGCTGATTATCACAAGCCCTCTGCATGTGGAGAAGATTATCATACTTGAAACATTGTGCGAATGTTGATGTTTACCTGTATGGTCGCAACAGAATAGTAAATATGAAAACCAGGCTCATGGTGATGCAGGAAGACGGAACCATCGCGGAGGATTCGGTATTCCGGAGGTATATATTCCATAGTTACTGAATCTGTTTGTCCATACTGCAGCACTCCCAAAGAGGCGAGATTGACCTCATCGATAAGGAAAATTGTTGTTTTTTCGGACCTGCATATGTTTCGCACCGAACCTGGTATCCCGAGTTACGTACAGCGCTCTGATGCCATCCTCCATATCCTTCTAATGATGACAATAAATGTTTCAAATAATGGAAAATAAGGCAGTATGGAGGTCCTACCATCGTCCGCCTCAATCGGTTTCGCCACCATATCCAGATAAATTTGAGCAGGCTTCTTTTCAGCGTATATTGGATCGCTCCTAACTGACTGCAGTTCCTGAGAAACGGTTAGAAAATTTGATCCTTCCGCCAGCTGCTATACTGCGACCAACCTTATAAAAATGCCTGCTGCCTCTTTCATTCGTATATTTCGCCGGGTTGCATTCAGGGCTTAACCTGCACGGGTCTGTCAGAAATCTGTTTCCAATCACCTGAACAGAAAATGTGAAGTGAGGAAAATACGCGTCTATTTCGCCTACCTTGATATTCTCTCCTGTGTCGCGTTCTCCTCGCCTTTTAATTTCCTGGCGGCAATGGCGACAGCGGTACACATCGTAATGCTTGGTAGCGAATTTGAAAAAGAAGGTGAAAGGAGTGCCTCGTGCCTGGAATCCTATAAA